TGTTTCCCATATCATGTTATATACGTATATGTATTATTATATTATTATACATCCAGAAAGTATATAATACACGTATATATGTATATAATTTCAAGTCAATTTGTACAATTAAAAATTTTAAATAATGTTTCCTATATCATGTTATATACGTATATGTATTATTATATTATTATATATCCAGAAAGTATATAATACACGTATATATGTATATAATTTCAAGTTGATTTGTACAATTAAAAATTTTAAATAATATTTCCTATATCATGTTATATACGTATATGTATTATTATATTATTATATATCTAAAAAATATATAATACACGTATATATATATTTTCAAGTTGATTTATATAATTAATAATTTTAAACAATATTTTCCATATTACTCTCTCTATATATATATATTAATTTATTATAGCTAGTGATTCATTATTGGACCAACTTTGTAAAGCATTTATTAACAAACCAACAGCCAATGATATCGAGTCTCTGTTAAATTTAAGGAAACCCTTGCGTAGCTGCGATTTTTAATTTCGCGATACTCGTTTAACAGTAGAAGGCTTTTAAGGTACCCCTTTTAGAAGACCCTTATTGGAAAACGCTTTTACTCTGTCTCTTTGATCGCAGTTGCGCGTTTTAGACGTATTTTAGTCTACACTCTGCAAACACATACGCAATTTTATTTATACCGCTTAGTATTGCTGTTTAAACGAAACTTTTGTCTTTCTTTGTTCAGTAGTCAATTCTTCCTAGTATCATACGCCGTTTCATGAAAAAAGAGAAAAAAGGAAAAAACAGGTTTATTGTCACGGTTACATGGCAGTTATCGAATATCGGTAAAATTTTATGAAATTCTTCTCGATGCGGATGCAGCTCGTGATGCGTGCAAAATATCGAAAGGAAAAAAGGAAAAAAACATTTTTTAAATGGACGTGACAGATTTACGGTTGAGTATCTTTTAATAATAACGCCGTTCGTCGTTCGAAATCCGCTTATGGAGGACTCGACAGCCGGATATTTAAATTTGTTTTGATTGAATCGAAGCTCTTATCGACAGTTGGAAAAAGCAATTATATGTTCAATGAAATTTTCTTTTATTTCCGTCCATGTAATAATTGCACGCTGAAAAACCGGTTAGTCAAATAGAACACCTAAATCGCGGTATTAAAGTTCAAAATGTTAACAAAATTTCAAAATTAATCTCTTCTCATTCGTTTAGCACGTTCACTGCCATGCAAGTATTACACGGTGCTCACGCAAGAGAATTTTCACCGTAATATATAACAGTACTATCAAAATTTTTATTTAATAATATTGTCCAGTTACTTAAATTTTTAATCTTCTAGTCTTCGAAGCTATTTATTTTACTTTCATCATACTAAAAATTGAAGAGTGTATATCAAAAACTACCCTTTTATCGATTCTATCAATTTTTGAAGAGAGAAAGATAGGACTTTTCCATATTCAAATTGTTTCTATAGGACCAGTAAATTTTTCCTATATCATAATTCAGGAAATACCTAGTTTTTTATAATACTAATTCTAAGTAAATTCTGACTATAATTAAAATACTAAGATTGTTACTTGAAAGCTTAAAAAGATTGGCAAGAGTTCCTTTTAACTCTTCAGTTATCCCATTCGTGTCCCCAGCGTCCACCATTGCTGCAACGGTGACCAACATGGCAGTGAACGTGTGTAGAAAGAGACTTGGACAACATAACCTAAAATTGAAACAGCTCGAGACGCGAATGACCGATACTCAATTGGACAAAAGTGCCGAGAAACAGACTTGACACAGTAGAAGTTGCAGTAACGTGAAGGGTCTATCTGCCTGTATCCTAGCCCTGGTAAACCCGTGATCGATTCGATAGCGACATCTGTCAATTCTCTTAACCAATGCCGCGGAGCCAAGTAGTCTCGTAGCTGGCGTAGAGCATCCTAGACGTATCGCGGCTTTGCTGTTGCTCACTGAAACCGTATCCAGTCATACTCGATGTTTTGTCTCGACTAACCCCACGATTTTCTCGTTTGCCCCGTTTCTTTTTCTAGAAGTCGTAAATTGAACATGCAGCTGGAGAACGCTATACAGGAGGCGATGGCAGAGCTGGACAAAGTGACGGAGCCCAGTAAGGACCAGAAAGCGACGAACAGATCGTGCAAGGTGACCGGGAGCAAGGGATCGGAGAGCAGTGGCGCTTCGAAGCAAGATGGCAAGAGGTCGTCGAAGAAGTCTGTCGCGTCGTTGAATCCTGTCGCGGCAGAGCAGAAGCAGTGTCGGTGATCCGTGTCGATCGATACTTGTACGAGCCAACTGAAGTCACGATCATGAATTTCTCTGCGAACAGAGAGCCCTGTCGAAGCTTCGGCGTTCGCGCGCCTCTTGTGGTTGAGAAACACTGACACGTGCCACTTGTTCTACGTTGTTTTTTCGACTCCTCGCTGAACCACTCGTGGCGCTAGTGTCGCGCGGAGGCTCTAGACGCGTTGTATTCGATGGAATCACCATGGCGGACATCTTTGACCGGTGTCCGGGCAAATCGGACTCGCGAAAATGCGAGATTTCGCGGGAACGCTGACTTATGGTTCCCTTCGAATACCACCGGTCGAGCTTCCGATATTCCTGGAGCTTTACGGAAATTAAAATTTCGAATTTTTTCATTTCACATAGTCGATATGGACTTCTGTATTGCGATTACGTCGTGCGAAATTCTCGTCAACGATACCGATATGTAACTATGTTATAATTGAAATTGTATAAATCACCAATGCAATTGGTTTACATTATCCGATATATTACGAGTAATTAAGAGTAGGAGAATTGATACGCGAATTTCTGATGTTTAAGATTCTTACAGTGGCTGATGTGTAATATAAGATTCGCAATACAGAAGTGACGATTGTTGAATAAAAAGAGCGTAGAATAAGCGAAATTCATTGTTGTACATACATTTTTCTTCTATTGGAGTAAATAAGGATTGTCCAATTTTAGAAACTACAGGATGCTAAAATAAGTAATATTCTTTCAAAAGAAAAGAAAAAAAAAATCAATATCGTGGTCCATAATATTCGAGAATTCTTGCGGTTGCCCTTATAGAATCAAAAGTAGTTAAAGGTAGATATCGATTATTAGTTTGACGTTTTTTCTTGTGACACGAGCAAGTTTATTTTACCTGTACATAGACGTCGATGAAAGCAGAAATGAAAGTTTTAGAAATGCTGATGAATTTTGTCATTCAACGTGTATGTTAATAGAGGGAACAGAGAGCAGAAAAGTCAATCGAATGTGATCGAAGCGACTGAAGTAGAGATAACGAGAAAATATTATGTAATCGAATTACAAAAGATTTTTATCGATCGAAAGTCGGTCGAGATACTTCTCGGCGTGATATAGGATAATTCGTCGTTATTTCACCGCAATAATTTGCCGCTAGCGAGCATGATTATAGAAGACACCATTTTCCTATTAAGCATCGCTGTTCAAAAAATTTCGTTCCTCGCGAACTGTCCACCTACTCGCTAATTCGAGAAGCAAATTGTTGCCAGATGATCGTATGTAAATCGTAAGCTGTTCTACGTCCAACAGTGACACCTGTCGGACCCCTAATTTCTTAAGGATATTTTAAAAACAATTTACTCGACGTACTCTCAGAGCGAAATCGTTGGATCGTCCACGTGGATATTTTTCTTTGGCGCCAGATTTAACAGGAAAATGGGGCGAGAATTGTAAAAATGTAATAATTGCGCAATTAGAGAGTCATTAGTGGGAAAAAAGTAATAATAATTATGTATCTATGGCCGACCTGTCATCGCGCGGAACTGGCCTACAGTATGTGTCTTCGTGTTACTTATGCACTGTAATTACATACGGATAGTAAGATCATCGAGTGATACAGGAAAGTTTTGTTCGAAGAAAAATATACGATGCGCGTTTACATAGCGGGTGCATCGATTTGTAAAAATACTGTGCAGACTATAGCTTTTCTTTTCTTCTTCTTAGTTGACACGTTTCTGTCGAACGTAGGTTTAGTAAAGACGAATGTATTTTATTCACCGACTCGAACTGTAACGAGAAAGATATACTCTGTAGCATTACGCGGGTTCGCGTGAACGAACACACACAGGCGATTCTTGCAACTTTCGAACTAGAGACGTTGTTTCGAATGTTACATTAACATTCACGGATATAGAACGTGTGATAAGGGGCATACGAGAGGTATTTGTATCTTCGAGACTTACGTAATTACGTGTAACGTAGGAGGTTAGGATTTACGATCAGGCGTTCCATTTTCGAACGACGAACACACTTTCACACGTCGCATAGTTTCGTTTCCTTTTTATTTCCTGAAAATCACGTGCAAGCGTGTACACGCTTGCATTCGGGATGCAGAGCTAGGTATGCGTAGTTTTTAAATGATATTTTTGCGAGAGAGTCAACATCACAGTACCTATAGAGAGAAATCACTGTTCCCAATCGATCATTTTTTAAACGGCTATACGTAAGTGTACGAGAAGTAATTGTTTCACAGGAACGTCATGATGTGGCGCTGCAATCTCGAATAGTCTCGACACAGCTCTTTTTAACCTCAACCGGCGTTTTCGATCCGCGTAATAATTTTTTAACGATGTATTCCTTAGATTGTAAAATAGCGTATCGATGTCGTGACACGATATTCCATGGATTAAAAGCTAAAAGAATCGTGTATATAACAAGCGATCGATTAAGTTAAAAGAAAAACTCGAGGTCTCTGCGAAGTGTCATATTCCGGTTCGAATCGAACACACGCTGAATTTTCACTTTCAACAAGACCGGTCTTTCGAGTAGCTTGAAGATAATTTTGGTTAAACGAGAATAACTTGAAGATGGAAAAATAAAACGGAAGAAGCGTGGAACGCCGAGAAAATTGAAGAATCATTGCGAGAACACTTTTCCATTTACGTGTTCTTTCTGAGTGCGTGTCCGACACGCGTTCTTATTTTAGCATTTCCTTTCATTTCTTTTCTTATTCAATCGTACGATAGCGTGTAATTCACCTTTATTTTTGTATGAACGCGAAGATTGAAAACTACACCGCATTATTCATCGCACAATTTAACTCCAAAATGCGAGAAATGTTCCTTTGAAAGCATGTACGCATAAATATGTACAAAACCACACAGAGCGAATCTTTAAAAGTTAGTAGGATATACGCAGCGAGTATTAAATGGATATTTTATTTCGTCGACTATTCAGTCGAAAAGCCATTGTCTATGAAAACATATTTCGATTCAGGAAAACCTTTCAATTAACACGTTGCTTATCAATCTTAAACGATTGAAGCTGTTTTTCATTTTCATGGTGTGTCAATAAAGCTATGAAGGATGGTGTAATGTGCACCTTTGTGTTGGTTGACATGTGCTTTTGCTATACAAATTGTGAAAAGTTTAATTAGACTTGTATCAAAGTGTTTGATTTAAAATAATGTGATAAACAACGTGTTAAGAACAAAGCATTCAATAGATCTAAACACACAACAGACAGACAATAAAGCAAATGCAAGTATCAAAAGACAAAGAGGATTGCGCGAATTCTTTTTATGACTTGTCACTTCGACTTTCGAAGGAGAACATTCTCAGTCAAATCAGTTCTATAAACTGTCGATTATTCGTTGCTAATACTATAAATACATGCAAAAAGAAGTAGTCAATCTTTCTGATAAAAAATCAAATAATTTACAAAAATTTGTATACCTTTTGCAATGATTGTAACTGTAATTTTTCTAACTGGTCTCAATATTTTACTATTAAAGGAGCCTAAAAAGTCTCCCAATATGATATTATTGTGTAAAGTATTTGAAACTTCTGAGGACCAATCACTTTCTAAATTGCTGTTTAACGATAAATGTTACTTTTACAGCAAAAGAGGAAATGGTACAAAATTTGTTAGTCCTTTTAATGTTTGATCAAACTATTTGAGCTTATTCTAAATCTCAGCTGTAAAAAATACTGATATATAAACATATTGGAGAAAGTAGTAGTCATACAAAACAAACATAAATTATGCAATAAGATATGCTTAAGAAGAACTGTTTTAGAAACATCCTGAATCTTGTCGTATAAGGCTAAGGTAAATTGAATGAATATCTTTAACTTTTCCAAGTTCAACATAATTAAGAAAGTGGAAATCTGTAGACCTCATTTCTATTATTTTCTCCAATATGTAGTCTCAATGATACATTTTCATAAGATGAATTAATATGTATATCTGTAATAATACAGAGCTTCTAAACATGTTTATGGTTATAATGAATTTTCAAAGTTTGATCGAACAGCTTATGGAAATTAGTTTCATGCAACACAGATAGTTAACAAAAGATCAAATTAGTTGAGCCACACTCACTAAAATTCTAAATGAAAGGACCACTAATATTTATGCAACAAGAAAGTGCGACTAAAACATGGGAGAATATCTTCAAAGAACAGCTGATTTTCTGTCATAGCAACGAATAATCGTCGAACGACGACGGGCACCGCGTTTTTCGCTTCAAGGTCACGTCGTTCACGCTTACTTTAATCGGTTGTTCACGCACCTCTAATTAACGACGGTACATCAAATGAAATCAAAAGCTCGCGACAAGACTGACGTGTCGTCGGGCCTATCCTCGCAACACGTTCAAATTCAAAAGTCCTCGTTCCCTTCAGTGAAACGACGACGTTTAGCAAAACGCAGCAACAAAGAGACACTTAGAGCCTCAGGAAGACCAACAAAAAAAAAAATGCATTATCTCAGATTCGTAGATTTTCGTTTTGATCAGTGGCGAAAGACATATCACCGGCCGCGGATGACGATTGTTCGAATGATCGGTATAGCTTTTTCTGATGGAAAACAACAAAGAACTATTACACAACATGGGACCGTTTAAAGATAAGGACACTTCAAATTTTACCGTTCGATTCCTTCGCCCAGTCGGCGGCCATGAGACGGAATGTGATTTCGCCTCAGGGCCCCTTGCTAGTTTCGTAACATCGATCCAGAGGTCGATTCAACACGAAGGGGCAAGTTTTTTGTCCCTTCTCCAGTAGCGTGTCAACGCGTCACGTAAAGGGGGGGATAATGAATTTATTAAAAAAATAAAATCGAAAAAAATAAAAAAAATAAAAACACAGTAAAGACTTACCTCAGTAACAGTAATGTATGCAAGAATCAAACGTCTTTATGATCGAGAGTACGTATACACCGTAGAGCCGACGTCCTTTGTATATTTTCCGTATTGTACATAATTATACATACGCCTTATCGGTAATTATCGCTGTACGATAACCGTCGACCTGCGCACTATTTAATATTTATGCGAATCATTGGGACAAGGGCTGCGACGATTAAGACAGCAGCAAAGCTCGCAGAAAAAGCGACGCGAGTCGAGATGGCACTTTTAGCGAGAATAATTTTTAATGTCACTGCGAATCGCTCTATCATACG